TCTTCATTTATAAAACCATTAAGAAAGTCACTTTTTACATCCATTTGATAAAGTTTGAATTCTCTAAAACAAGCAAATGCAAGTAACATGTGAATGACTTCTAATCTAGCAACTGGAGCAAAAGTTTCATCGAAATCGATACCTTCTTCTTGATTGCATCATTGTACAACAAGTCTAACCTTGTTTCTTATAATTATGCCGGATTCATCAAGCTTGTTTCGAAAGATCCATTTGGTATCGATAATGGTATGATCTTTAGGTTTTGGCACAAGTTCCCACACTTTGTTTCTCTCAAATTGGTTAAGCTTTTCATGCATAACTATCATCCAATGTTCATCGAATTCAGCTTCTTGAAAGTTTTTAGGCTCAATCTGTGAGAGAAAAGCCAAATTATTACAAATGTTTCTAAGTGAAGAGCGAGTTTCAATACCTTTTGTAGGGTCACCTAAGATTAAATCCTTAGGGTGATTATGAACAAACTTCCATTCTCTTGGCAAATCATCATTGTTTCCTCCTTCTTCTTGAGGTGGGAGAATAGGTTGTTCAATCTCTTTGTTCAACTTACATGGTTGGTTCTCTTCTTTGTAGATACTTGAATCTTCCACATTTGGTTCCAAATCTGTATTGTAACAACCCTCATTTCAACTTGGTCATACTTGCATACATCTATGTATGATATTGTCTTGATATGTGCTTGTTTTGCCCGAATGTTGCTTGCATGCCTTGTTCTTGCCTGGTGCGTTGCTGAGGTCATCCTAAGCCTAGGCACCTTGGAACCTTTCCACACCTAGAGCCATCTTGGAATTGCTTTGTTTGACCCCCATCTTTGCCCTGGCATATTGGCCGAGATGTCACTATCTAGGCCGAGGTGTACAGCACCAAGGCCGAGATGTGTACTATCTGGGCCGAGATGTTATTATCTAGGCGTTCTAGATCCTTGACCCTTACATTCGTAATTTGTTCCTAGATTGGCATGACCTAGACCGAGGTGTGGCACATCTAGGCCAAGGTGTGGCACAGCTTAGTCAAGTGTTGTTCTTCCAAGCCGATGTCCTTGCCACTTGCTCAACGGAGTCTTGTTGTTAGCCGATGTCGTTATTTGCCGGAGTGCTCTTGCGGTTTAGCTTGTTGAGGACACTTTGTCATGGTCTTGTCTAATCAGTCAGTCACCTTTTCGAGTAGAGCCAACCAGCTGGTGCCACGTGTCCCAGCAGAGGGATTAAGTCAGCGACTGTCGGGAGAAACGTATCCTTTGTATCAAATCTTGCCTTTTAGAGAGAGAAACTCTAGGAAGAATGAGGAGAAGTTGAGCAAGAGAGAGTGAACTTCCAAGCTCGATCCTTGGAGCTTGAACCGTTAGATTCGAGTTTTGAGGTTAGAATCTTAACCTACTCTTATTGCTCTTTTTGATCATCTAGCTACATTGCACGATCAAACCTGTTCGGTACGTCATGCATTGATTTAAAGATGGCTTTAGAAAGAGAAAATGGTTTTCATATATTCTTGAAGAAAAGCCTCGTTTGATTCGAAAGTTTGCTTTAAAGCTCATGTTTTTGTGTTTGTTTGATAAGATCCTTGAATATGGGTACCCAGGCCCATGTTTTTGAATTCATAGCATGAAATCTCAGCTTTCGTAATAGCCAGTTTTGATCTTTGCATTCGTCTTCCTCATGATTCGTGTTCTTCATGTTCTTCATGTTTATCAAGAGGGAAACCCAGATTTTCCCGACTTTGCTTTTGAATGTGGCCGTTGGGGCCACACCTCGTCAAGGAGGTGTGGGACCTCGGCCTAGACCTGGTAGTTGCCCAGCATGTTTTCCAGAAATAAGAAGCGGTGCCTTGTTTTGATTTGGCTTAGTTTTGATGAATGCCGGGGTCATTTGCATGCATGCAAGACTTGTTTTGAGAAGTGCATTCAATAGACTTTGCCATGTATTTGTAGGCCTTGGACTTGCCTTGACCCCGACGTTTGCAAAACTAGGTGAGTGGTATTTTTGATAAAGCTATGTTATATGTTTTAATAAAGACTTTGCTTTGTTTTGTTTTGAAAGTATTTGTTAAGCATGAATAATTGTCCCTATTTTGTATATCAAGTATTACCTCGTTTTGATGACCTTCTCGGAAAGTCCCTTGTGCTGGAGGACTCTAAACTTTCGCAGCACATCTCGTTTTGAAAGTCCCTCGTGCTGGAGGACTCTAAACTTTCGCAGCACATCTTGTCTTGAAAGTCCCTCGTGCTGGAGGACTCTAAACTTTCGCAGCACATCTTGTCTTGAAAGTCCCTTGTGCTAGAGGACTCTAAACTTTCGTAGCACCCATGTTTGAGATATCTCCCTTGCTATGTCTTGTTTTGCCACTGACGGTTTACCGCATGGATATGTTTGCTGGGATGTTATCTTTTGTAATATGTTGATGCTAGTAAGCATCCCTTGAAGCTTGAAGATTTGTTAGATGGACGAGGTCCATCCCTTGTT